ATGCTCACAAGGAAAGGCAGGGCTGGTTAATTCTGCTCTGTTGGCTCAGGGCAGCCTTCAAAGAGAAAACATTCAGGACTTAAGCGATGGAGAGCTGGTGCAGGAAAAGACTCATCAGTAATCATTACAATACTATTTGAATAACTGATAGGGTGGGCCTGAGGGAAGGACTGTGCCAAAGAAGTTAGGGAAGGTCACACAGGAGGAGGCCTGCCTGTAGACAAAAAAAAAAAAAAAAATCAGGGCAGTCGCTTTTTTTTTTTTTTTAAGATTTTATTTATTTGACAGAGAGAGAGACACAGGAGAGAGGGAACACAAGCAGGAGGAGCAGGAGAGGGAGAAGCAGGCTTCCCACAGAGCAGGGAGTCTGATGCGGGGCTCGACCCCAGGACCCTGGGATCAAGGCCTGAGCCGAAGGCAGACGCTTAATGACCAAGCCACCCAGGCGCCCCAGGGCAGTTGCTTCTTTAAAGCACTTTTGGCCAGGCTTATTGTTAGAGAATGACAACACTGACCTCCGTATTATCTACATGGTCACAAATCCCACAGACTCAATACCCACATCCATAAAGGCACCAATTTCTCCTTATGTGTACAGTGTTTTCTCCCCCTTCTGATTGTAAATTCCTGGGGGTTAAAATCTTATCTTTAAGGAAAGCACTAAATACAAAAGAGGTACTCAAAAAAATGTTAGTTTTCATCCTCCCCACTCTCCTCTCCCTTCCCCCAAGGTCTTGCACAAAGGCACTCAATGAACATCTGGGTGAATCGACCAACTATTTCCAGGTAGTGAAAAATAATGCTGCATTCCACTTACATTTGATTTGCATAGACCAAAAATCTGTATTAACGATATCTTAGAAGACTTGCAAAGGGTTTTTTCTTTCTCAAAACCTTCTCATCTATGACCTTATCTGATCCTCACATTGTGCTGGAAATTAGCCTGAAAGGTATTTATTTATTCACTCTGGTTTTCAAGATGAGGACTCTCAGTCCAGAGTTAATTTGTCCAAGATTACACAGGTGATATGAGAACAAACCTAGATCTCTGATTTTCTGAATTCTAGGCTAGTACCTCTCCCACTACGCTATTGGTTACTTTTAAGTCTGGCATTTCTCACTACCTCTCACCGTACACAAAAATAAACGGCAGCTAAGATAAAGACATAAGCAGAAAATACACAACTATAAGAATGTCGAAATGAACGACAGGGGGGCACCTGGGTGCTCAGTCCTTAAGCGTCTGCCTTTGGCTTAGGTCATGATCCCAAGGTCCTGGGATGGAGCACCATATCGGGTTCCCTGCTCAGCCAGGAGTCTGCTTCTCCCTCTCACACTCCCCCTGTTTGTGTTCCCTCTCTCCCTCTCTGTCAAATAAATAAATAAAATCTTTAAAAAAAAAAAAAAAAAAAAGGAACTACAAGGAAATATTTTTATAATCTTGAGGTAGCGTCACAAAAACCCAAAAGCCACAGGCAGACTTGACTACATAAAACTTTTAAAATTCTGTGTAAAGAAAGACACCATTAAAGTGGTTAAAGATAACTCATGGCTTTACCCCACCCCTTATTATTTTACCCACTCTGTGTTTTCCACAGTGATTTTTGCTCTCCTTGCAATTGTTCTTTTCCGTGAAAATTTTATTTTATTGTAAAATTTTAAAGATTATTTATTTATTTATTTGAGAGAGAGCAGGCGCGGGGAGGAAGAGCAGAAGGAGGAGACTCCCTGGTGAGCAAGGAACCTGACCAGACCAACCATGGGACTCCAAGGGACTCGATCCCAGCACCCTGGGATCATGACCTAAGCCAAAGGCAGACGTTTAACTCACTAAGCCACACAAGCACCCTCTTCCATGAAAATTTTAAAATCAGGTTAAGTTCCATGCGAAGTCCCATTTTAATTAGAACTTACCCTAATCGACAGCAAAAACTCATGTCTCTACAAAATTAAGTCTTTCTGTTCATGGACATGCTAAAACTCCCCATTTAACCAAGACCTTTTTGTCTTTCACTAAAATAGTCTGATTTTCTTAATACATGACTTGCAGTTTCCTGTCAAATTTATTTCAAGAAGTGTAATATTCTTATTGTGAGATTATTTATTTCATCACATTTTTATGGTTGGTGGTTCTTATATTTTATGTATACAATCTCTGTTAATCTCCCATCTGGCCATACTGCTGAACTCACTAGTTTTAGTACTTTGTCAGTCAATTCTCTTTCTTGATGAATGTATCATATGGAAATAGTGAGACTTTTCAACGGCCAGGAGCTCCAGTACAATGTTAGCTTTGATGGTAAACATTCATGTCTTATTCCTATTTTTTTTATTTGTTTTTAAGATTTTATTCATTTGACAGAGAGAGACACAGAGGGAGTGGAACACAAGCAGGGGGAGTGGGAGAGGGAGAAGCAGGCTCCCCGCCGAGCAGGGAGCCCGACACAGGGACACAGGGCTCGATCGCAGGACCCTGGGATCATGACCTGAGCCGAAGGCAGCCACTTAACCGACTGAGCCACCCAGGCGCCTCTTATTCCTATTTTTGATAGGAATGTTTCAAATAATTTCCTGTAAAGCATAATTCGCCCCCCAAAAAGGCTGAAAGATAAACGAAAAACTAAGAGAAAGTACTTTAAATGCATATGACAAATAAAAAGTTAATATAACTTAGAGAAGATGCAACAGAAGTTGCTCAACTCCACTACTGGTGACATGCAAATTTAAACAATGAAATTACTATTTTTCATCTATCAAATTGGCAACTGCACTAAAAATTCATAGTATCCAGTATTGCTATGTTATAGGAAATGGGGACATTCACACATGGTTCTGAGTGAGCAAGTAAATTGTTACAAACTGAAATTTAGTTTCACAGAATTGATTAAAATTTAAAATGCACAAGGGCGCCTGGGTGGCTCAGTCCATTGAAAGTCCGCCTTCACTCAGGTGAATTTCCCAGGGTCCTGGTATTAAGCCCCACATTGGGCTCCCTGCTCAGCTGAGAGCCTGCTTCTCCCTCTCCCTCTGCCACTCCCCCTGCTTGTACGCTCTCTCAAATAAAGAAAATCTTTTAAAAAAAATTTTTAGGGGCACCTGGGTGGCTCAGTCGTTAGGCTTCTGCCTTCCGCTCAGGTCAAGATCCTAAGGTCCTGGGATCAAGCCCCACATCTGGTTCCCTGCTCGGCAGGAGGCCTGCTTCTCCCTCTCCCACTCCCCCTGCTTGTGTTCCCTCTCTCGCTATGTCTCTCTGTCAAATAAATAAAATCTTTAAAAAAATTTTAATGCACATATTCTATCTATAAATCTACAAATGCAAAAGATTAACTATAGGAAGATGTTCCTTATGGCATTGTTTATTTTAAAAAATAATGGAACTAACCTAAATGTTCATCAGGATGAGTCTAGACAAATCAAAGTACAAATATGTTAGACTATTATGTAACAATTGTTAAAATGTTAAAGAACTTAGAAATCTACAATGTAACACTAGTGTCCAGCACTGTAATTGCTCAATAAATACACTCTGGATGAAAAAAAATTGTATGAATATAGAAAAAAGGAGGGGGGCGCCTGGGTGGCTCAGTCGGTTAAACGTCTGCCTTCGGCTCAGGTCATGATCCCAGGGTCCTGGGATCGAGTCCCACACTGGCTCCCTGCTCCGAGCGGAGCCTGCTTCTTCCTCTCCCACTCCCCCTGCTTGTGTTCCCTCTCTGGCTGTCTCTCCCTCTATCAAATAAATAAATAAAATCTTAAAAAAAAAAAAAGAATAAAGAAAAAAGCCTGGAGGTATATTTGCCAAACTGATAAAAGTGACTATCTTCAGGAGCACTGGATAGTAGAAAAAGGAAACTTAACATTTTTGCCTTCTATTCTTGTGTGTGCGGACTTGTCAAAATAAGTATGGCTAATTTTTTTTAATTAAAGACTTATTTCTGATGACGTTTCTCTATTTTTATCTCAATTTTATCATGAATATAAGAGCACAAAGATTTGCTGTCAATGGTTCAAAACATAAAGTGCTCAGGGAAATGAAACCCGTGTACAAAGAGTAGTTGGGAATTCCTCTCTTCCAGAAATATTTCTTTTGGCATCTCAACCCTCCCTAAACTCACAACCTGACAGCACCGACAGCAGAAGCTGACACATAAACGGACTGACATTTCCTTCCATTAAGAACACTTGGCATAATCCATCTTTAGCGGGACCTCTCCCTAATAGCTCAAGTTGGGAGATTCTAAAGAAAAGTTCAAGTTTCCATTTTTTAACGCTGGACCCGGGGGCCACCCTACATCGCTAATGAAACTAGTCTTCTACCGAGGGGAGTCCTATGGCTTTTTCCAGGCGAGAAGGCCAACGTCAGACGCTGGAAGATCTGGAATGAAGGAGTAAGCGGTATAAGTTAACCAGACCGGCCTGGGGACGCGCCCGGATTGAGTGTACACGGAAGAAAGGTTTAAAGAAAGTTAACTCCTCTCCCAGCTGACTGGGCGGCCCCAGAATCTACAGAGCTGGGCCTGATAGAAAACTCAAATAAAGAGGACCTCGGCTGAGTTACGTGAAAAGGCTGGGTAAGAACTATTCAGGCTCTACTTGGGGCTGCAAGCTCAAATGAGACAGGGAGAACGTCCGCGAAGGGAGACTGATGGCGTTTTTTCAAGGAGCCTCAACCAGCCCACCTAGCAAAACCTAGCAGCCAGCGCACGTCACTTCAGGGTCTTCATTCCTGCCCTCAGCAAAGATGGCCGCCGGGGCGCGCCTCTACCAAGGCGCACGCGTCATACCGCCGGTCCGCCCCCTTCCCGTCCTTCCGCGCGCCGGCACCGCCCACTCACCAGCTGCACCCCCTCCCAGCGTCCTCAGCCTCACCCCCTTTCTGGCTGCTCCCGCCGGTCCAGGCTCCGAGCCCGGAAGTGGATATTGCTGTTCGGCTGAGAGGACGAGGGGAGGGGGAAGTGCTTCCGGGGAAACGGGCCCCGGGTTGGTGTTTGTAAACTTGCCTCGGTCCCGGCAGGGCAGCGGCGGCCACGGGGTTGGCACGGTGTGCTGGGGCCTGGAGGAGGCGCCGCGCGGTGGGGGGGGGAGACAGCGGGAGGCCGCGCCTGGCAGGTAGGAGCACGGCTCAGGGAGCGCAGCGTCGTCCGGGCAGGCGGCAGCGGCTCTGCTGCTCGCAGGCCGTGGAGCGCCGCGCGGGAAGGGGGAGGGGAAGGGAGGAGGGGCGCGTGGCGAAGGGAGGGGGCTCGCCGGGGAGGGGAAGGGGCCGCGCGCGCGCGCGCGCGCGCACAGCCCCCCGCCCGCCAGTCCGGCCGCGTTAGCGGTCGGGCGGAGGGGGGCTTGCTTGGCGGGGACGCGGGCGCGAGCACGCACCTCGCGCGCTCCTCGGTGCTCTCCTCCGGCTCCGTGCGGCGGGGCGCTGCGTCTGGCTGGCTGGCTGGCTGGCTGGAGGAGGAGGGAGGAGGAGGGAGGGAACGCGGAGCGCTGGCCTCCGCCTGCCTGCCTGCCTGCCTGCGGTCCTCCGCAGCGAGTTTCCGTACCTTCGGGCGGACTCGGAGAACGCACACGTGTGGGCCGGCCCAGCGCACACTGCCAGTCCGGTTGCTGACTTGCTACTCAGGCGTCCAGCGATAGCCTCTGAGCTTTTCTCCACCCCAGTTCTGGCCTCCTTAATAGAGTGCTAGCTTCGCGGCCCGGCCCACTCGGCACAAAAGCCCCGGAGGGCCTCCGCCCCCTTCTATTCGTAAGATGGCAAATCCAAGCAGTTGGCCTGTTGCAGTCTTCCATGAGAGGCCCCAGTTACTTTTAGTCCCGTTGGCAGCTCCTCTTTGCCCTGGAGACCAGTTTCTTCTGACCTAGAAAAAAAACTCTGCTTAACTAATGCCCTCTTCCCGAGCTTCACAGAGAGCGCCCACCAAAAAAAAAAAAAAAAAAAAAAAGTTCAGCCTACTGCAGGTCGAATGGCCTGAGAATGTTGCACCTAACAGCCCCATCTCCTTTTCTGGTTTCAGGTTTCTGAAACAGATCGTGAACTTCAACGAGAGGATTCGGTTGGAAAACGAAGACCAGCAGACTTTTTCTTCAGATCATAGGCAGGAGCCAGGCAGAGTCCAGGGATTCTTGGAACATCTATCTTCCCTTTGGAGGACACTAAGATCTATTTGAAAACAAAGGCAGTTCAATATGGCAGCAGGACTGAAGGGACACAAAGGAGTTGTTACAGTGATTTGGTGACAGTTCTTCAAACAACAGTGTCTTAGGAAAGGTGGATCAAGAAACTCCTGAACTTTTGGGTTGCATTAAGTGAGAAATCAGCATGGCTCAGGTAAAAAGCTATAGAATCCTCCTCCTTCAAGATCACTGGGAAACGTGTTTGCAGTTTCACTCTTGAATGCTGCCCTAGTCAACATATTGACCAACCCAGTGAGCCAAGCTCTGTATTAAGCACCAGGGGGAGATCTAGAGGAAGGAAAGGAGACAGGCCACAGCCCCTGCCTTCAGGGAGCTTCCAGTCAAATGAAGGAGGTAGGCTATTCTGCATCACAGGCACTGATGGGACATTTGTGAAACAATTACTCAGTTTACACTTGGTACGTTAAGTGCTGAGGGGCATGAGGGAGTGAACAGTCTGGTGAATGCTTCATTTTTTTCTTCAACAGGAATTAATTGAGCTCCTGTTACATGCAAGGCATTATGCTGGGGATACAAAGATGAGTACAATTGTCCCCATCCCCAGCAAGCTTCCAGGATAGTTGGGTTGGGGTGGGGGGAAATGGAGAGACAGTCTATTATTTACCTTTATATTCACAATGCCTTGCAGTGGTTGGTTAGCAGCAGAGACTCAATGAATCTGTTGATTGAAGGAACGTGCAATAATAGAGGTATGTACACTGCAGAGGAGAGAGAAGGGTACCTCTGCCTGGATGGAAAAAAGCAGGTGAAGCTTGAAGAATGCATAGGATTTTGCTAGATAAACAAGCAGAACAGGACATTCAGACAAGGAGAACTGCATGGGCAGAGGCTTAGAGGCATGGGAGAATGTGATGAGGTTAGGAGTACTACAGATAGTTTGCTAGTTAAAGAGGAAGGGGTTTAAATGGGTTGGGGGATAGGGTAGGTAGTGATAGAGGGAAAAGTTAGGGTGAGGGAGTTGTTTCCTGGAGAAGTTAAGAGTATAACCCAAGGGCCTTTTATGCCTTGCTAAGGAATTAGACTTTATTCTGAACGAATGGGAACTCTCTGAAGAATGTTAAGCAGCAGAGTGACGTCAGATCAGTGTATTTAGAAGGTAATTGTCATTGTGAGGGGAGAGGATGGATTGGAGAGACAGGATGATCTGTTAGGTTGCTGTTAAGTGTGGATAGCAAAGCCATGTGCGGGCATCCCCAGAGCTCCTCCCAGCTTCTTGCAGGGACCCTCCTGTACCAGTCTCACCAGGATGGCAGCCTGATTAGAGTATAATTGGCTTTCTTCCAGCTGCATGTATGGCTTCCTTCTTTCCTTGCAGATTAGGAGCCCTCGGTTTTTTCTTCCTTTGTTTGCAACCCACTTCACGGCATCATGTTCACTCTTGTTCTGAGAAACTGCCTCTCACTAATCACTAACTTTGTACTGGGCACTGCTAGGCATTTGTATCTTAGTTTTATTCTCATCAACCCTGGGAGAGTAGATACTCTCATAAACATGTTGCATTTAAGGAAACTGAGGCCTGAAGAGGTGGAGTAATTTGCCCAAGATTATACAGTACAAACAGCAGAGCTAAGCTTTCTACCTCTAGACCTTTTTGTCCAAAGTCCTTGAAGGAGAAAGAAAAGAAGGGGTCCCAGGATATACTGAAAGGAATTTCTTTTTTTAAGAGAGTATTTTTAAAAGGAATTTTTTTTAATAAATCACTTGTGGAAGTCTGCTGATCAACTATTTCTTTAAAGTGTTTTTTCAAAAAAAAATGTTTTTTCAGTAGGAAAAGTATATTCTCTAGTGCTGGCTAAACAAAGTCAGTTTGAAGAATGTAGCCATGAAAAGAGGAAATTTTTTTAATCATTCCTTATTTAAGCAATTTTTAAACTATGCATAAAGTAGAGAATGTGAAAATATATGGATTTGCACACAAATAAATGGCCTTGGATGTCAAGAGAAAGTGATAACCCTAAAATCCTTCCAGGGGACTTAATTTTTATATCTGTTAAAATTGACTACGCCTAGGGAATTTAAAATCTAAAGGGAGAAATAACCTAGTTTTGCTGATAAACATGCTTTTGGGACCTGATAGAATACATATTTGGCACCAGTGATGTCTGCCAATCATAACTGGCCTCTGAACCTGCTGGTGAGAGAGGAAGGAGGAAGTTCTGCTAGAAATCTCCCATTTCAGTGGATCAGCAGGGCAGACCCTCCTGCCCATTCACAAGGCCAAGTACCTGGTAACAGGTCCTAGCACACTGCTAATGACAAAAGTGTCAATAATACTTGGTTATTCAGTTGATTTGTATTTAAATGCTGATGTATAACAAGTAACTTATTCCTGGTGAGGTGAGTTAGGGAGGACTCTTGAAGGAAGCAGAGTTTGGCAGTAGAGAGGGACACTCCCTAGAGAAGCAGTTTGTGGCTGGGTGTGAAAGGTAGTTCTACAGAAGATGGCAGCCTGTTTTTGCCCTGCCCTGCCAGGTGACCTGACACCTCATCTCCTTTCAACTTAGGCAAGTCTCCTGGCTTGTGAAGGCCTAGCAGGTGTGAGTTTGGTTCCTACTGCAGCCAGCAAGAAGATGATGCTGAGCCAGATTGCCAGCAAGCAGGCCGAGAATGGAGAGCGGGCAGGTAGCCCTGATGTGCTGAGGTGCTCAAGTCAGGTACAGCGTTTGAGTCCATTGTGGCACCTGGGGGTCGGGTGGCCCAAGCTCTCTGCCAGGAGATGCCAAGCTTTGATTCCTCAGTGCTTCTGTTTAGGGAAGTGGGGAAAAGGGATCCAGCTGGGGAATGAATGAATGTGGGTATTTTAGAGAGCTAAGGAAGGGCTTTACCTATAACCCCTTAACACCATAGTACTTGGAGAGGAAATGGATGAGTACCTTCTCTAAACCTTTGGGGCAGGTGGTTACTGTCATTTAGAAGTTGTCTGCAGCACAGCATTTGGTTTCCTGTCTTGTGTGGGGAGATAGACTATGAGTTTAGCTTTGATTTATTTTAAAAGGGCCACCGAAAAGACAGCGATAAGTCCCGGAGTCGCAAAGATGATGACAGCTTGGCTGAGGCCTCTCATTCAAAGAAGACTGTTAAAAAGGCAGGTAATGGGGTAATCCCCAAACTGGTACCATTTGTAATGGCGTAATTCTCCTTTTCTTTTGTCTGTGGCTCAACCTAGAGTTTTCCCTAGATGTTTTGGTCACTCATAGCCAATGAGTGTGTCACTCTTATTTCCTCCATAGGCCACTTTGGTCTTTGATCTCTGCCCTCTCCAGAACATCCTGGGTAAAGGAAGGAGGGCCAGGGAAGCATGGGATCCTGTGACAAAGAGGGAGGCAGACCTCCCTCAGGTCATATTCAGAGGTGTTGGGTTTGATAGGGCAGACAGTTTACCCATGCCCACCTCCTTCTTCAGAGGGTCTCTTAATCTCTTAACTCTAGGGAATGAGGGAGATGACAACATCAGAAAGGTTACTTTGTCCAGCAACTGGAAATTGACCCAGAGTAGAATGGGGACAAAAAGACGGCTGAGGGATAGCCTTATGACATGCCTGATTGTTGCCCCTAGGTGGTGGTAGTGGAACAAAATGGTTCTTTTCAAGTAAAGATTCCCAAAAATTTTATTTGTGAACACTGCTTTGGAGCCTTTAGGAGCAGTTACCACCTCAAGAGGCACATCCTTATTCATACTGGTAAGTCTCTTGTTCATATTCAGTAGTCTGTAGTTGTGTGTGTATAGCTCTTACTGGGTTTGTTTTAGGGGCCGAGTTTCAGAAATAGAGAAAGAAGATAAGTGAATTAGCTAGAAAGATTTTTGTGGCTTTGTTTCTAGTGTCAGAGACTGACGGCTTTGGGGATCTTTCCTCATTAGGTGTCTGTACATTGCTAAAAATTAAAACTTTCTGGGAAAATACCTGGAATGAAGTCCCTACCTTGTGTACCTCCTGATACTAACTTCTCTCTCCACTTGGGCCAGGTGAGAAGCCATTTGAGTGTGATATATGTGATATGCGCTTCATCCAGAAGTACCACCTGGAGCGTCACAAGCGTGTGCACAGTGGCGAAAAGCCCTACCAGTGTGAACGGTGTCATCAGGTAAGCCCACATGTCACCTGTCTACCCCACACAACAAACTTTTCCTTCACCAAGAACCAGGGCCAGCCCCCATCCCCTTCCCAACAAGGGGCCACATCGAATTCCTGGCCATGGTAGAGTTAGTACCTCAGGGTGAGGTGTTTCTCTCTGGCCTTATGCAGCTGTTTATGGGAGGGGCCGTGAGA